ACGTTCATGGATCTCATGAACAGGGTGTGTAGACTGATGTTGGATCGGTCAGTAATCGTTTTTATTGATAATATCATGGTCTATTCTAAGACCAAGGAGCAGCATGAGCAACATTTAAGGGAGGTATTAGAGACCCTGAGGGCGGAGAGGCTGTATGCCAAGTTCTCCAAGTGTGATTTTTGGCTGCGGGAGGTACAGTTTTTGGGGCACATCATCAACCAGGAAGGTATTTCGGTTGATCCAGCCAAGGTGGAGTCTGTGATGCGGTGGGAAGTACCGAAGAATGCTTTCGAGATCCGTAGCTTCTTGGGTCTAGCGGGCTATTATCGGAGATTCATCCAGGATTTCTCCAAGATTGTTGTGCCCTTGACCTGCTTGACCAAGAAGAATGTGACATTTCGATGGGGTGCGGATTAGCAGTTGGCCTTTGAGACCCTGAGACGGAGATTATGCGAGGCTCCGATTCTAGTACTACCCGAGGGATTAGATGACTTGGTGGTGTACTGTGACGCATTGATTTTAGGGTTAGGTGCGGTACTGATGCAGAGGGGGCATGTGATAGCTTACGCCTCGAGACAGTTGAAACCTCATGAGGCGAATTACCCCACTAACGACCTGGAATTGGGGCCAGTGGTGTTTGCCCTCAAGATTTGGAGGCACTACTTGTACGGAGTGAGGTGCACCATCTATACGGATCACAAGAGTCTGAAGTATTTGATGGATCAGCAAAACCTCAACATGCGACAGAGGAGATGATTAGACGTGTTGAAGGACTACGATTTTGAGATCCTATACCATCCCGGGAAGGCCAATGTGGTGGCCGACGCTTTGAGTCGCAAGGCGGCGGGTTCCCCGATTGGGAACGTTTGTTTGAGAATGACTGTGATCTATCCATTGTTGGATATGATCAAGGAGGCTCAGGTCGAGGGGGTGAAGAAGGAGAATTGGAAAATAGAACGGATTCGGGGGCAATATCCTTTGTTTGTTAAGGATAGTCATGGCCTTTTGACACAGTGTGGCCGGGTATGGGTACCAGTGACAGGGGGAGTGAGGCAGAAGATATTGGAGGAGGCGCACAACTCCAAGTTCTCTATACATCCAGGGGCTACGAAAATGTATAGAGACTTGAGACTGAGTTATTGGTGGCCCTTCATGAAGCGGGAAATCGCTTGGTTTGTGGAGCGGTGTTTGACCTGCAGGATGGTCAAGGCCGAGCATCAGCGGCCCCATGGTAAGGTTCAGCCGCTACCCATTCCCATGTGGAAGTGGTAAGAGATCATTATGGACTTCATTACGATGTTACCTAGGACGGAAAGGGGTGTGGACACCATATGGGTGATCGTAGACAGACTAACGAAGAGTGACCATTTTATTCCGATCTTTGAGAGTATATCCGCCGAGAAGTTGGCAGATATTTATGTGCGAGAGGTGGTGACTAGACATGGGGTGCCAGTATCGGTAGTCTCGGACAGGGATGTTCGGTTTACATCTAGATTCTGGAAGAAGTTCCACGAGGATCTGGGCACTCAGCTGCATTTTAGTATGGCTTATCACCCCCAGACAGATGGCTAGAGTGAGAGGACGATCCAGACACTTGAGGATATGCTGCAAGCATGTGTGTTGGATTTTGGAGGGAGTTGGGATGCGTACCTCCCATTGGCAGAGTTTTCATACAATAACAGTTACCATGCCAGTATCGACCGACCTCCATTCGAGATGTTTTATGTCAGGAGATGTAGGACTCCGGTTTGCTGGGACGAGGTTGGTCACCGAGTCATGGTGAGCACTGAGGTGGTGCTCAAGACTACCAGGCTGATTCAGCAGGTGCGCGACCGGTTGCGAGTTGCGCAGAGCCGTCAGAAAAGTTATGCTGACCGGCGGCGACCGGATCTTGAGTTCCAGTTGGGGGACTTTATGCTACTAAAGGTGTCGCCATGGAAGGGAGTCATCAGGTTTAGGAGGAGGGGCAAGTTAGGGCCCCAATAAATAGGTCCTTTCAGGATTACGACCCGGGTGGGCAAGGTAGCTTATCGCTTGGAGCTACCGGATGAGCTTAGCCAGATTCACAACACTTTCCATGTGTCACAGCTTCGGAAGTGTATCACGGACGAGGCCGCGGTCGTCTCTCCGGACGACATTCAAGTGGATGAGAGCCTAAACTACATTGAGAAGCCTGTTGTGATTCTAGATAGGAAGGCCAAGGTTCTTTGGAACAAGGAAGTAAAGCTGGTGAAGGTGCAATGGCAACACTAAAGGGGCTCCGAATGGACTTGGGAGCTGGAGGACGAGATACGAGACCACTACTCGGATTTATTTGGGTCAGCAGACTTCGAGGACGAAGTCTAGTTCAAGTGGGGGAGATTTGTAATGCCTGTTCCAAGCATTACTTAAATTATTTATTTAAGTTTAAGGTTTTGTTCATGGACTCGGCGAGCTGGGAGTTCAACTCGTCGAGTAGGAGCCTTATGGGTTGACACGGGATCGAGACCTACTCGACGAGTCGGCAGGATGACTCGACGAGTAGGAGCTGTAAAGAGAAACCCTAATTTTTAAGGGTTTGCACCCTATATAAAGAACATAACCTGCCCTTGTGGCCTCCCTTAGCACCTTATTACCAGAGAAGAGAGTTTTCGGCCGTAAACCCCTCTTGAGTGAGAGAAATAGCCATTGTGAGAAACCTTGAAGTGATTGTGAAGAACTTTAGAGCTTGAAGAAGAATGAGATTGGTGAGGAGCAGTAGATCCATCATCTACATCATTTTTGCCAGCATCCTAAGGTATAAAGTCTTGATCTTGATCTCTAGTTACTTAGATCTCCTTCTTGGAAGTAAATGGCCATTCTTGGTGCAAAATGGAGTCAAACTTGGATCTAGACTTATCACAAGGATAGGGTTCCAGATCTGGACCTCTTTAGGTCCCAAATACCATAAAGTTTCTTCCTTTATGCAGTTTGGTCTCTTCCCATGCACAAAAACCATGTAAGAATCCTAGTTTTGAAGTTATAGGCTTGAAGGACCTTGCATGCATGTAAAGTTTTTCAACTTTACGTGATAGATGGATTAGGAGAGCTTGAATCTGGAGTTTGGGACCCTAGATCCCACGGAAAGGGCCGAACTTGAAGAAGACTGAAGGAACTCGTCGAGTCCCTTGGCTGACTCGACGAGTCGAGTAGGGTTTACTCGTTTTCGGTTGTCAGGAGTTTTCGATTGTCAGGAGTTTTTTCGGTTGTCAGGAGTTTTCGGTTGTCATGAGTTTACTGGTCAGGAGTTTCCGGTTGGCATGAGTTTGCGGTCCCATGAGTTTCATAGGGGACTCGGCGAGTTACACAGGTGACTCGGCGAGTCGATGACCAACTCGAGAGGAACTCGACGAGTCACTAGATGCACTCGACGAGTTGAGGTCAACATAGACTGTTGACCTTGACTTTGACCAGGGTTGACCAGGGTTGACTTTAAGGGTAATTATGGGATTATGACAAGTTAATCACATGATGCTTAAAGGCAGTTAAGTTGGAGCAACACGTGGGACTTATCTGATTCTAGCTTGTCAGTTCAGCATTCGTGAGAGGTGAGTCTTCTCACCATACCAATGGGTCTGAGGCACCAAGGCCGGCCCATTTTATGATATGTGGTACACTAGCTGTAGTAGAGATATGTGGTATGATAGTTAGCTTTATGCTAGGTGGTATGCAAGTGATTATGTGATATTTGCATGGAACAACCCGGGGGGAGCCCGTGACAATTGGATATAAGACCATGTAGGGGAGCCCATGGCATTTCTAGGTAAAGACCATGTGGGGGAGTCCATGACATGATGGTAAAAGACCCTGGGGGGAGCCCATGACATCCTTATATGTTATGTATGTGTTATATAGTATGATAGATACTCCTGTGATATATGATATGATAATTGATTATGTATGTTATTGCATGGAAGACCCCGGGGGGAGCCCGTGGCAGTTGGATGTCAGACCATGTGGGGGAGCCCATGACATTCCTAGGTAAAGACCACGGGGGAGCCCATGTCATGAAGGTATAAGACCCTGGGGGGAGCCCACGACATCCTTATATGTTAGTATGCATGGCTTATATGGTAGAGATAACTTTTATAGCACATATGATATGTGTTATATGGATTGTGTGTGGGGTATGCTCTAGGGGGACTCACTAAGCATTAGCTTACAGTTATGGATTTGTTTCAGGTATATCTGAGCCCAAGGGTAAGGGCAAGGCGTGATGGCGCGACGTGCACTCTCTCAGACACTTTTATGGGAGCTTCTGATGTTTTGAAATAAAATTGTAAACGATATGAGTTTTGAAAACAATTGTATATGGATTCCACGGTTTATGGAAATGCGTTTTGATTAATTAAAAATGAAAAAAAATTTCTTTGAAAAATTGGGTCGTTACACAATCTAAAATCTTCTTGGTGATCAAAATTGATATCATAATCTTAAGTCTTCTTGATGAGCATGGAAAAATCAAGGCTAAATTTGTGAATCCATCAAATCTTTCACACGGTCAAATACATACAAAATTATAACATTGTACAACTCTTAATTAGAACAAAATTTAAAATAAAAATAAAATAAGGAAATAGAACTCAAAGTAAGATGCTATATTAGAAAAAAACATAGAACGCTTGATTTAACAAATCATTAAAAATTTCAAAAATTAAATATATGTTTGTTTGTTTCCAATCCCAAATCTTGAAAGGACTGAATACACACAGTGACAATAAACTTTTTGATTATGTTTATTGTTAATTTTCATCCCAAATAGAGGTAATTAAAGTTGTAATGCAAGCTTTTTAAAAATTGTTTCTTATCATTATATAAGATATGTTATCATAGTTTTGACAGCAATAATACTAATCAGAAAACTAAAAACAATGTCACTAATAAACATGATGATTCAAATTCACAGTAAAAAGGGATGATAACCAAATTTTTTTGTTGTATAAACTTTTTCTTATACACAAAATGTCCAGGTGTTTTTGAATATATTTTGAAAATTCCCCAACACAAAAATCTACCAAAAAAAAAAAAGACAAACGGTTGATCATCTTGGACCAGACAAGTGATCATTACTAGGATTAAAACCCGAATCAAAATTAAACCGAATCTGTTGTATCTGACTATCCTCTTTCTTTGGAATCTCCTCTTTCTTCCACTCCTCCCACCTCTCCGCCAACCCATTACCTTCAAGCATCTTAACCACTTCAGACATCTTCGGTCTCTCCCACGGTGTCACCCGTGTACACAATAGCGCCACCTGTATCACCTCCTCAACTCCATTCAACAAATCACCTCCTAAATCCGGATCCACAAGCACCTCCAACTTCCTATCTTCCAAAAGCCCTTTCACCCAATCAAGCAACATCACCTCATCATCATTAGCAAGTCGTGCAAGATCATACGCCCGTTGCCCGGTGATAAGCTCTAAAAGCATCACACCATATCCAAAGACATCGGTTTTTTCTGAAGATCTGCCTGTGGATATATACTCCGGGGCAATGTGTCCGATTGTACCACGCACACCTGTTGTGACATGAGTGTCTTTGTAGTCCATGAGTTTTGCTAACCCAAAGTCTCCAACTATTGCTTCAAATTCCTCATCTAATAAGATATTTGCAGCTTTTACATCACGGTGAATGATTTTTGGATCGCAGTGATCGTGTAAATACGCGAGCCCACGTGCGGACCCCAGTGCGATTCGTTTCCTTGTTGGCCAATCGAGTGCAGATTTTGTATCGGGTCGATCTACAGTAATTTGTCAATTAGCTAAAAAGTCATGTATTTGACTTAAAAAGTCAAAGTGGGTATTCTTACCTTTTAGACATGATGCAACGCTTCCATTGATCATGAACGGATAAACAAGCAAACGTTCGGTTGGTGTCATGCAAAAACCTTGAAGCCTTAGTAGATTCCGGTGAACTGCCATACTTATCAACTCAACCTCCGTCTGAAACTGCAATTCACCACCTTGAACACGATCTAGCAGTCTTTTCACAGCCACCAAAGACCCATCAACTAACCTTCCTTTATAAACTTTCCCAAATGCACCTCTTCCGAGAATGTTTTTGTTGCTAAAATCATCCGTTGCAACTTGTAGTTCACGTAGAGAAAACCTCTTCAGTTGCCCTAATTGATGAACTTCCGGATCCTCTCCAGCTAAAAAAAATCAAACGAGACATTCATTCTATATACCTTTTATATTGCTGGAAATAATTAAATGACACTTTTGGTCCCTGTAGGTTTAATTTTTCCGAATTACATTTTTGGTCTATGTGGTTTTTAACTTGTATAAATTACAATTTACTGGTCCGTGTAGTTTTAATTTTCTGGAATCACACTTCTGGTCCGTGTAGTTTTTAATTTGCAAGCAGGAAATAAGAAAAAGATACTTTTTGTCACTATAGTTTTAAGTTTGTGGAATTACATTTTTGGTCCTTACAGTTTTAATTTTCCGGAATTACACTTTTGGTCCATGTACTTTTTAATTTGCAAGAAGGAAATAAGAAAAAGATACTTTTGGTCCCTATAGTTTTAATTTCTCGGAATTACATATTTGGTCCTTCAAGTTTTTAGTTTGCACGAATTACATTTCTGGTCCCTGTAGTATTAATTTTCTGAAATTACACTTTTGGTCCGGGTAGTTTTTAATTTGCAAGAAGGAAATAAGAAAAATATACTTTTGGTCCCTATAGTTTTAATTTCTCCGAATTAAATATTTGGTCCCTGAAGTTTTTAGTTTGCATGAATTACATTTCTGGTCCCTGTAGTTTTACTTTTCTGAAATTACACTTTTAGTCCGTGTAGTTTTTAAGTTGCAAGAAATGAGTGACTTATACTTTTCGTCCCTATAGTTTGCAATGTTGTGCACATTAGTTCAGGTTTTGATATATTTTTTTACAAGAAGACTGAATTACAGTTTAGGTCTCTGTGGTTTCTATTTTTAATTTGTTAGGAACCAAAATCAGGTGATAATTAAATCTATTAACTTTAGTCACCTGCTACATCAGAGAAATGATCTTGTGGGTGTCTGCGCCGCCACCAAGCAAGTGCAATCAACGGAACTGCAATAAAGATAGCAGCTCCGACAGCAACTCCTCCGGCAATAGCTAATGTGTTGTCATTACGGACTGAAATTTACATAAAATACAATTAGAAGGAATGTAATAGAATAGGGGTAATATAGTCATTTTACTTGGAAAAGAAACCAGACCAAGATGTCACATTAGTGCTATCGAAGATTATATAAAGTAAAATAAATTTATTTAAGTTTTTGAACTTTTTTAAAAACAATGATAATGATCGAAAATACCTGAAGGAGGTGTCAGTGTAACATTCGGTGTTGTATCATTCGCAAATGTCAAGTTGGAATTATTGAGAAAACTGAAAGAAGAGAATTTGGCAAAATCATGATATATCGTTATATCTTGAATTCATGGCATAATTTCAAGAATCATGTAAGTAACAACATTTAGACCTAATGTTTGTGAATCGCGAAAATGAGCCATTGTAAGGGACACTTCCATCCAAAAAGTTGTTGGATAGATCACTATGACATATAATTAAGAAACCAATCAATTTTAGCTTTGTTTCAATAACTATCCATAAAGAATAAAAAACCATAATGTAACGATATATATATATATATATATATATATATATATATATATATATATATATATATATATATATATATATATATATATACTTACAGAATTTCTAGTTTATTTATAGTAGTTAACGAATTTGGAATAGCTCCCATCAGACCGTTGTTATTCAGACGACTATCCTTAGACAAAAACACAAATGATCATAATTAACAAAAGATGAAGTAAAATGGATCAAACTACTTTAATTTCATTAAAAAAAAAAGGAATCCAAATGATGTAAAATCGTACTTACAGATAATGAAGTTTCTGAAGGTTGCCCAATGTGTCTGGAATGTCACCTTCTAACTGGTTGTGGTAAAGATCCAAACTCAACAACTGTCTTAACTTCCCAAGCTCATAAGGAATTTTTCCAGCGATGTTGTTACTATAAAGCTCCCTAATATCACGAAACAATATTAGTAAGTTTTAAATCATCATAAATAATAATATTTGGATTATTGTATAACAATTAAGGAAAATGACTATACACTATTGACTTACAAGTACTGTAAATTTGTAAGTTGACCAAGCTCCGGAACCAGTTGACCTGACAAGTCTGCGTTTCCAAGATCACTGTGTGTGTGTGTGACAAACACCAAAATAACAATTTATTTGTAAGACTAGAAAATGCAATAAAAGAATAAAATATCAAATTTTGATTAAAGAGGTTTGATGAGCTTACACTCGAGTAACTTTATTCCCAGGGTCGCAAGTAACATGAAACCAAGTACATGGGGTGGGAAGGGCCGAATCCCAACTTTGCAAAACATTCTTGGGATCCTTTAAATTTGACTTTAGGCTATTCAATGCATCGACTGTTTTACATATATGAAATTTGATTATGGTCTCTTCTTCGAAACATCAAATTAATGAAGATTTAATTTACTATAAAACATCGTGAATCAAGGAAGCAATTAAGAATCATGAAAAAAACACATACCTTCAGCATTCCCATAAACCCTTTTATGGAACCCCAAAATAAAAAAATAGAGGATCACAGGGAGGATTCTATCCATTTCTGGCTAGCTAAAAGCCTAGTTTCATCGTCGGTTATTAAACAAAATCAAGAAATATAAAATGCCTAAAACTTGAAACACAGAACGCTAGCTTTGAAGACAAATTCACAAATAAAATCGACAAACTAAAACCAAAAATTCCACTTCAAGAAATTCGTCGAAATGATGATTCTGAAGTTATTTGTTTTGGGTTTTGCAATATTAAAGATAGTAGTTCTTTTGGGGTAGGGACAAGGGGAATAGTCTTTGTGTAACCAGTCAAAGTTCTCTTTTTCTCCTAAAGTTGTGGCTGCAGGAAGAAAGAGAGGGGGGCATTTTAGGAAAAAGGGAATACTGAAATGAAAATTAACATAGTTGACTCCGAGAAGACTTTGACTATACTTTCAGTATTGCAGAAACAATTGCACTACATAAAGACTTAAATGATTTATCAATGTATTATACATTTCTAACATAAGTTTGGGGAAGTGAAGTTTCTAGAAAACGGGTAAACTCAACCCGTAAGACCCACCAGGTTAACGAGGTAACTTGGAGTTCTCCTGAAAGAAGGCTTCATTCTGGCATTTTATCAAACACTTAATACACGCATGTAAACCTACCACACGTTAACTTGTTCAAGTAGAACAGTCATCCACAAAAGAACTGAAACAGATTGTTGGGACATGATAAATTTAAAGATAACAGAGTACAGAAAGCAATACATACCTTTGACTGAAGCTAGCTTGGGTTCGACAACGATGTTTGCGAGCCATCACATTCCTTGCCGGATGATTAAAGTTGCACCAAAATGGAATGCTGATCTCCCTTTAGTGTCGAATTAGTGGAGATTTTTAGGCTACGTAGGAAAGCGATATAAAAATGTTTTTTTTTTCATGCCCAAAATTAGTTAGATTAGATAGGTGTTTAACTATTTTGTGAACCAAGAAGAAAATCATTGCAAGTCAAAAATAAGAAAGAATGTGGGAATGGTGCGAAAACGGGGAAATCAAAAAGAATTTGCAAATCAAAAATAAGAAAGTATACAAACCTATGGTAGTTAGTTTTATTTCATATCAACTAGAAAAGGTCCTTACGACACGGGTCACTCTTTTTAGAAAAAGACGGTTAAAGTTGTTCAATTACTAAAAATAATAAGTGATTTATAACATTAAAACTTCCTTTTTTGTTAATAGGAATGAGTTTTTTTTCCAATTGCAACATGTTTTTGTCATGATTCAAAAGAACCTTCATTTTTATAATTCAAAAGAACTAGTTTATTAGATTAAAAGATTAGAAATTTGTGGTAATTATGCAAGTTTTTAAGTGATATGATCAATTTTTGAGGTTATTCTAAACTCACAAATTTTGTTCAAAGTCAACTAGTCCATGAGTTGAAATGGATAAACATTCATGTATTAAAATGCATCCTTTTTTGTTTATAGTAGTTATATTGTTAGTATGTTCGTTGTATAAGTTGACAGAAGGGAAGGAATTCTTTGTAAGGCCTATGATTATGAATATCAATCAACAAAATTTGATGAAGACATCTACCAAAAGGGAAACATCTAAGATGATGTAGAAGAAACTTCTTATTTGGAATGATGAAATTACTCTAAAGTTGATATTTAATACAAAATTTACTTGACTCCGTCGATTGTTTGACTAATTTGTTTTCCAGTGTTGATCTGGATATATTATTTGTAATTTTGTATCTAAAAGGCTAAAAGAAATATATATAAAACATTAGTGTATTTTTATTGAGTTTCGTCTTCAAATGGATTTTTTTCTCTCCTGCCTCGGGTCCAAAAATATGTTTGGGACGGTCCAGCTAACGCCCACCTTTACTTATGATCTTTGTTTTGTAGACATCGAAGATCTTAACCAAGATTTTAGGGGCTATTCACCCCCTCATTCGATCTGAGGTATCTAGATACCTTCTAAGGTTTAAAGGCTTACATCTTTATACGAGATTAGGTTTAAACAACTTGCTTGGACGCACATCTTCTAGTTATAGTCAAAGGATATGGGGACCGACTTACGCTTCGGTAACTGACAACCTACATATTACTAACTATTTAATTCAATGGAATAACACGGGCGTGTCATACAGTCGGGAACTTATACCCACACATTTAATATGAGCATGTTAAACTCAAGCCAAGGAAATATCCCAAGGATGTGGAAAATCCCAAGGGAACAACCCTCAGACCAGGTTACCCCAAGATTTACAACATTTTTATGTTGTCAATTAGTGAAAACGTGGTCTTGTTCACTAAGTTAGAGATATCCGAACCTAAGGTCAAAAACCTAAAGTGTTATCTATCCAAGATAGTATCATAATAAATTAAACAAAGTATCCAAGATATTCTCCCAAGACGTAATCTAAAGATGACAAACGAAATCACTTCGGCTCAATATATCATCATAAGATTTCATCCCAATATATTAGGCATAAGGTATACAATCCTTATATCACTCTTAAATTCTAAGATTGTTTCCTTCTTATAACCTCAAACCTTTCTTTTTACAGTATGTCACTTTTTTATCCTTACACTCAAATTTTCTCCATGTTTCATTAATATTATTTTCATTTTTATCAAAGTATATTTCCTTTAGCATATCTTTAAAGATAAGGTACAAAGTCAAAAATTGTTAGAATATGTGTCCAAGGCCATAATTAAATTGGTATAACTTTATGTAATAATAGTAATTCCCTTTTTTGGTTGCCATCATAACCAGAAATAGCTAAAATAACCTTAGGAGAGAGAGATAAAATGATTTGTTAATTTATTATGTGATTAACAAATTAATTATAAGTAGTTTCTAATTAATTATGAATTAATTAGAGATAGTCAGAATTGATTAAGTATTAATCATAATTAATTTGGAATTAATTCGGGATTAATTGGAATTAATTAAAGGTTCAAGATGTGAATTATAATTGTTCAATAGTTGAACAAAAGATGCAATTCTAGAAGGGCCAATGACATTAATGGTTTTAGGAGCCTCTTTAGGGTTTCCAGAAGCCTCCTAGTAGCAGATAAGGAAATGATTTGAATTGAGATTAAATCTATTATTTAACTATTCAAATCTGAATTCATTTGTAAGTTACCTAGACTATAAATAGGACCCTTGGGCACTAAGATTTTGTGGCTTCTCATACCTAGAACGTAGAGAACAAAAATTCTCTCATCTCTCCTCTCTCATCTTTATTCTAGGGTTTCTAGGGTTTGGGTGTGAGCCATTAGAGGCAACCATATCTTTGGTGCTAGCTTTCTGAAGATCAACAAGGGAATCAATGATATTGTTTTCTATAACAATATCAAAGGTATGTAATGTAACAAACCAAAATTCATAAGTAACAATTCCATTTTTCAATTTATCAATCCAAACAACACATGTATCGAAGGAATCCAAAATACAACATATCGCAAATATCAGAGTAACAGATGCCATAAAATGCGGAAATCATGGGGGGGGGGGGAGGATGGTGTGCCATCAAGTTGGGCTTTTCCCTTTTGTACTGGAAGTACCTGAAACTAAAAACATATCTGTAAGCATAATGCTTAGTGAGCTTCCCAAAAATACCACATACGCAAAACACATAAATATAACAACACATGGTTGTGTCAGGTCTGTAACAAGCCCCGTGTCTGTATCAACCCTATACAACAACAAATGTTGTGGTGGGTCTGTATCAACCCCCAGGTTCATATCAACCCCGAGTCCATATGACTCTGAACCCAATTTGGCTCCGTCCATATATCATACAATCACATAAACAATAATCACATAATGGTACACATCCTACACATACAGATCAGTGGGTCGTCATTGGTGCCTTCGACTCACTAGTATGGTAAGAAGACTCACCTCTAGCTAAAGGTAACTGAATCTCATACACACGCTGCAGCTAAAACGGCTCTACACACTAATTAAAACCCAAAGACATACCTAATAAAAATCGAGGTTTTATGTAATGCCTAGTCCCTGGTACGCATTTAAATTAATAATGTATTCACTTTTGTAGAGAAACTCGATGAGTTGGGAGCCCCAGACTCGTCGAGTAGAGATGATTTGGGACGCGGATTAAGAAACCTACTCGGCGAGTTGAAGGCCTCAACTCGACGAGTAGGCTGGCAGAAATGAAACCCTAATTTTTGGGGTTTTGTACCCTATTTAAACAACTTAAGTCTCCCATGTTGGCCTCATTTACAGCCTCCAAGTCCCTAACCCTAGATCTTGAAACCCTAATGCTATTGTGAGAGTTTGTGAGCTAATTTAAGTGGTTTAGTGTGTGTTTGAAGCCATTGGAAGAAGGAAAATCTTGAGGACACAAGAAGGAGTTTGTAGATTCAGAATCCTTGCCTCATCCACGACATTTTGCTGGTATAAAGATTGAACCTTGCTTTGTAGTTGTTTAGATCTTCTTTTAGGGTTATTTTGATTGGTTTTGGTCCAAATATCATGGTCCTTGGGAGTTGGACGTCCCAAATGGGTTTACACTTCAGATTAAGGTCTTGAGGGATTTTCATGGCATAAAGATGCAAACTTTATGGCCATGGAAGTCCCATGCAACCTTTAGACAATCATTTTGGCCTCTTGGAGCTTCTCATGGCCATACATGTGGAGAAAGGTGGGTCTTTACGTGATCTTCTTGTCCCTAGAGTCCAGATCTATGACCTCATGGTCTATCTTGTAGTTTTGGTGGTGTTTGGGGTAAGACTTTGGCCTTTTCGGGTTAGGGTTGAAGCTTAATCCATTTAGGAAAGGTATTAATGGGTAAAGTTGGAAACTTTACCCTTCTAGAAGCATTTCCAGCCTAGATTTGGAGTTTAGGGTGTAGATCTGAAGAATAAGGGCTTAATACATTAAGAGGGGTTAACAGACTGAAGAACTCGACGAGTTCCTAGAGGAACTCGAAGAGTTGGGTCGAAGTGTCTCGATTCTATTAAAAGGAAGAACTCGGCGAGTTGGAGGAAAACTCGACGAGTTGGATCGCGATTTCACGATTCTATGATTCATGGGAACTCGACGAGTTGAAGGGTAAACTCGACGAGTTGAGTCAACTCAGAGCGCTGATTTTGACTTTGAACTAGACTTGACTTTGAACATGGTTGACCCTAAGAGTTGTGAGTATGAAATGGCAGCTAAGGGATTGTTTTAGCTCAGGGAGTGAGTAGAGCTGATTCCAGGGCAGAGACGTTTCAACAATCATCCGACATTTAAGGTGAGTTTCCTCCTGGTTTGAACGGGTTGAA